GTAATATCTTGCCAACAGATACTATCGAAACAACTAGAATTTCTATCTCTAACATCCTTCAGAGATTTCTTGACAACAATAAACGTACTAATTATTCAGATAGATGCATCTTGCAGTCTTACGCGGTCTCCAAGAGATATTTACGCGAAAATAAAGACATCATGGTCACGAGAGCTGACAAAGGTCAGATCTCTGTCGTTATGGACAAGAGTGATTATTTCGACAAGATGGAATTGCTGTTGAGTGACACAACCACTTACAGGGAATTAAAAAAGGATCCCTTGAAAAGATTAACAAATAAAATCAATGAGTTAGTCAAGTCTTGGCGTAGGAGCGGTTTGATCGGTGAGTTGACATATAAAAACTTAAATTGCACCAACGGAAATTTACCGCGATGCTACGGGCTGCCGAAGATTCATAAAGATGGTTTTCCGTTGAGAATCATAGTATCCGCTTTGGGAAGCCCACTATACAATATCTCGAGTTACATCCACGATATCCTACAAAAATCGATAAGAAAACCAAATTCATATATCAAAGATGGTTGGTCCTTTGTCGAAATTATCAAGAACACTGATATTGACAAAGATAACATTATGGTTTCGTTGGATGTGGCTTCATTATTCACTAACGTCCCAAAAGATTTGGTAATAAAGGCCATACGGAAACGCTGGGAAGATATTGCCAAGAACACTAAATTCAATCTTTCTCAATTTTTATTTGCAACTGAATTGATCTTGGATTCAACTTGTTTTGCATTTAGCGGACGTTTTTATGAGCAGATCTTCGGCACCCCCATGGGCTCTCCACTTTCACCTATCTTAGCAGATATGGTAATGGAAGATATGGAGATTCAATGTCTAAACTCACTAGGTTTTACCGTTCCTACTTATTATAGATTTGTCGATGACGTTTTCGCAATAGTACCACGCGCAAAAATCAACGAGATCTTGACAAAGTTTAACAATTACCACGAACGCTTAAGATTCACTTATGAGACTGAATTTGACTCATCCATTAGCTTTTTGAATGTAAAAATTATTCGGTCCGATAATAGACTTATCACAAATTGGTTCCGGAAACCTACATGGTCAGGGAGGTATATAAACTATCATTCGAACCACCCACTAAAGTATAAGATTAATACTATTTACAATTTAGTTGACCACGCGATCTTATTATCTAATGACTGCTTTAAACAAGACAACATAAAGCTAGTTTCTGACACGTTAATAAAAAACGGCTTTCCGGAACATTTTATATATAAACACATTAAAAAAAGACTCAATTTTCTAAATAATCGTGACCATAATGCTACAACTGATGTGAATCTTACTCGTTCGGACGTGACTCGGTTTATCACAATACCATATGTTGAAAATGTTAGTCAAGATTTATACCGTCTCTTACGTAATAGAGGCTTTAAGGTCGTGTATAAGATAACCAAAAAACTAAATAATTTAATTACACGAGGTAAAGATCGCTTACACGATAATGACAAAACAGGCGTGGTATACAAGTTAAATTGCAAAGATTGCAATTTAGCATATATCGGACAAACAAAAAGACATTTACGTACGCGAATAAAAGAACACTGTAACAACATAAAATTACATGAAACTAATCATTCAGTAATTAGCAAGCATAGATTAGAATCTGGTCATGATTTTGATTGGTTAAAACCGAACATCCTACACAACGAAAAGTATGTTCGTAAAAGAGAAATTGCTGAGATGTTTTTCATAAAGAGATGTGATAACCTAATCAACTTACAAAAAGACACAGAAAATTTAAACAACATTTATGACAAAATAATAAAGGTCATGTAATTCCGTTTTACTTATGATCGCGTTTAGTCTTTGACGAGGTCCCACACGGACTCATTGTTCTTAAAATTGAAATTTCAAAATAAAGTTTTGCAAATGCGACTTGTGCTTGCACAAGATTATTATCTATGCCGACACTCTGATTACTACTACTTCGGCTAATTTTGTATGTATATTTAAAATATCTCACGTTGAAACTAAATTAATTGTGCGTATTACGGTTCAAACCGAAGATTAGATGTAAATAATAATAATTTTTTGCAACTTATATATCTATTTCAGTGTATACTTGATAAGGACCACAACCATATGGTCGAAACGTCGTATTGAATAAATTATATTTCTGGCTAGTTTGGTCGACTACACAATTTCTTTTAACCTTTATTATATATTATAATTTTCACAAAATCATTATAAGAACAACGTAAAGAAAATTTTTTTTTTATTATTAGAAACATTTCTTAATCTGTTTTAAATATTTTATTATTTTAGTACATATTTGTAATTGTTAGCACTTGTTAGTATTATTACATAATTATATTTGGTCAGATTACATATAATAATTTATATAATAATTATATATAATAATATTTTTTCCAGTATTTCATTATTTTTTTAAATATAATCTGTGTATATTATTATCCATGCATAATACTTTACATATAATATTGACGAATTATTAGCTTTTTTTTTGTTGCTGCAAATGTCAATATTTTTAATAATTAATAATTTCACAATTGTCAAAAAAAATTGCGCGTTTTCGCTTTTATATTTATCCAGGAATGGAGAAACCAACGTGGACGGTAGTTCAGTTTTCAACAGATAACACTGTTGAAGCAGTACCATCGAGCTGGATTGAACACAACAAATGTTATTGGCCTCCATTTAAATATGAACAGATTATCACAGCAATTCGGAAAAACATGGAACGAAATACATGTTGGCCATGTTACGATATTATAACGTTTCGAAATAGCACTTATGGTGAGTAATATTTTATTATTTTTTTTTATTTGTAAAAAATATTTAAATTAATATTATTTTTCTAAAATTAAAGTAATATATATTATGGCTATTGCTCATTATAATGTAATATTAATTTGCATAATTTTAGATGATTACAATGTAGCGAGATTAAAAACCAAAAAAGCCGAATACACATCCGCATCCGATTTAAATTCAGAGATTGAGAACACGAAAAGAAAAAGAATAATAAATCGTCTGTACGTGGCAAGTGACAGCGATGACGATTACGATAAAAATAACAACTACTCAACAAAACAAAAACAAATAAAAGGTTTGTTTCAATAAACAAACATTTTATCTACTTATTGTGTAAATATTAATGTTTTTATACATATATATTAGTATACTCTTTGTCAAATACACCATATATGTATTACCATATATGTATTATAGTATAGTTTATTTGACATAGTATATACTAATTCATACTTAAAATTATTTTCTCAGAGAACGAAATGGTTAAAAAAAAGACCAGAAGAGCTATATATTCTGGACACTCTGAAGATTCTGAAGAGTCTAATAGCATTCTTCCAAAACATCCGCAAATGACAGGTAGATAAATAAAATAAGTATTCAGTTCATTATTTAGATTATATATAGGTGCATTTAATTAGAATATATATATATATATAGGTGCATTTAATTTATTGTTATATGTAATTAATTTATTATTTAAATAGTAACATTTTAAAAATTCTTTTTATTTTTCTTTCTTTTTTTTGATCTTTTAAATTTCGAAGTATCTATTAAATTAAATTAGACAGTGTTGAAAATCAAGTATATGTATATATTTTTTTTCATATCAAAGGATGTAATTATATAATAAAAATATGTATTTTTTCTTGTTAAACATGATGATTAATCATAAATTAATAATAAATTAATTAATTAATTAATTGAACGCCACGATGGATATAAATTATCTTTTATAATGTAGAATTGTAGATATTATATTAATTTTGCAGAATCCATGAAAATTAATTCAAATGCAAGTGGATTCAAAGCAACCAAACAAACATTCAATACATGTGACTCCCTCAATAGTAACATTGACACTTCTTTGAATAATGTTCCTCATTCATTCACTCGAGATGATGGTATGTGTATTTTTTATACAGTTGTAAATTATCGTTATTCAAATGAATAGAGTTGGAACATAATAGTTGAAAAATATATAACATTATTCTTTTACAGATAATACGAAATATTTTAAGGAAATTATTCGCCAACAAAGCTTCTTCAAAACGCAATTGTGGCAAATGGCAGACGATTTAAGAGAAATAAAAGATATCGTAACCGGTAATCTTATGCAACAAAATAAGGATGTCAACAAGCAAAATGAAAAGTCAATTTATTTCTCGTTTGATTTACCGTTAAAGACGGTTGAAGAGATTGAAGGAGCCGTAGAGGAATTTTTAAAAATTTCAGAAAACTTTGAACGTTCGGTAATACATATATGTATATACAAATTATATATACTTCATAAAATACTTTGTAAAACAAGAATTGAATATTAGGTCTGTTTTTTTCAGCTAAATTGGCTGCACTAGTTCAGAGTTTATATCTTTCTTTCCAATGTGGAATAAAAATGATAAACTCTGAACTAGTGCAGTCAATGAAAAGAACAGATGATCTATTGTAATGTAATATATGAATTTTTGCAGACTATGGAAACACGTATAATAGGAGGCACATGTCCTTATAATTTTATTAAAAGAAATTTAAGCCGATTAATTACGAATGAACTTGCAGTCCAATATAGTTGGCTGGGTGCTAAGTTCAAAAGACAATTTTCCAATCTTCGAATAGCAGATATGTTATTAGGTGCAAAATGCATATTATTTCATATATATTTTTGTAATAGCATATAAATATATATATATATATATATATATATATATACACACATATATATATTTGTTTCAACTTTTAATGCAAAATTAATTTATTGAAGAAATAAATTCAATGATCTTCGCAAGTATACTAATCACTTATTCTGTTGCAGCTGCAGGTACTGCATATTGTGATTCTTACACTAAATTGGAATTGGAAAAAGCAATCCAAAAATGGTTGAAGAGGGCAAAAGAACGATGTAATACGAAAAAAAAATTGAAACATGCGAAAGTAATTAATTAGAAAGTAATTATTATAGTCCTTTGTTTCTTATAATTTTATCTGATGTTTTTTTTCTTATATTTGACATTGTTTTTTAGAGTTTATTAACATGTTTGTCTTATTATAAAAATAATATATAAACATATATAAAGATATATATAATATAATTTATAAGTTCGAACTGTGATATAATTTATAAGTTCAAACTATAATTTGATTACATATAATTTATAAGTTCAAACTGTATAAGTTTAATGTGATTCTGCGATGTGTGCTTTAAAAGTCCAAACTGACAATTAAATAATATTGGTATTTGTATTTTATAAATATATATAAAAGTATTTTATAAATATATATAAATAATTAATTTTACATTTCAAACTTTTATTACTCATTAATCTCACCTTTATAAAGTTTTAAATATTTATTTCAACAATAATTATAATGGTAAGGGCACTGAAAATGACATCCATTTTAGATCCGTTTTTGGTTTGTTTTTTGGACATCCGAAGTAGTGAATAATGGACGTCTTATGGACGTCCAATGGATATCCGTCGGACTTAATTCAGACATCTTATGGACGTCCACATGTCCAAACTCGAATGTCCATTGGACGTCCATAGGAGTTCCATGTGCTATCTGGGTATGTTCTCTCGAGTTTCTGTCCTCGCAAAAACGGCAACTGCGTATGCATCTTGACTAGCATCTACGAACACATGAAAAGACAGTTTACATTGACGAAAAGCGTGTCGCGGAATATGTAGTTCCTTTAACTAGTGAAGCTGCTGCAATCAATTATCGAAATCAGCTCTAATATTTTCAGGTACTTCTTCGTCCTAACTGATTTTGCATGATCAAAGCTTCTGTAACAACAGCTTAGATTTTAAGGATATCGGAGGAGACAAACTAGTAGGATCAAATACTTTTTGCAGCAGCAGATAGTATTTCTCTTTGTAATCTGTGACGTAGTGTAAAATTCCCACAATGTAGGTGTCAACCTTAAAGTATCCTGTTCTTGATCTCAAAGCAATCCGAGTACGAAAGTCAATTTATATATTTCTTCTTGAGCCGTGTATTCCCAGCCTCGCAAATCAAATTTGCCTTCTGCCATGATTTGTCTTGCAGTAACTTCAAATGCTACGGTCTCGCTGTGCGTATTAACACTGATTACGCAATTATCTACGTAGAAAGACTTCTTTAATTGTTAAATGACTTCTATTCCTGCCTCCATTTGTCCTTGTTGTAGTGCTCTGTCTAAATGATATTCGATCATTGCTCTTAAGAAGAAAGGGCTGCTGGAGACTTCAAAAATTACTCGCCCATGTCTGTATACTTCTATTTCTTCTGGACGAGTCTTCACTAAAGAAACCGCAATACGTCTTTATCGTCAGGTGAAACACTTATTTGCAAAAAGCACTCCAAACGTCTGCAGTTATTCCTATCTTTCGTTGTCTAAAACGTAGTAGAATTCTCGGAATTTGTTCAATCAAATTAGGACCTGTTTTGAGATAATGATTCAGTGACGGTGGAGTTTTCCAAGAAGTGGATGCGTCAAATACAGGCCTTATTTTCGTAGTACTATTTTCTTTGATCACACTTCTATGAGGTAGATAGTAGGCATTGTAGTTTACTTCATCCTCCGGAATCTTTTCAATAATGCCTTTGGACAACTATTTTTCAAAAATTTGTTGGTACGTATCATAAAGATTTTAAGCCTTAAGTCTTTTAATAGTAGACTCAAGTCGTTTTATAGCCGATCCTTTATTTTCTACCAGTGGTAAGTAATCTTCCTTCCTAAGGAAGAAATATTTCATATCGAACTTCTTCATTCATCTTAATGGTATGCTGAAAATTCTCTTTAACTTTTGCTTGGTGTGCATCATCTGTCTTTTTCAAGCTAGGATCCATAATACTTAGCGTATCCAGCTTCCACAAGTCGACAATGTTTTCCTGACATGTAAACATAGATACGACCATGAGTGTTGCGTCTTCCTTTTGCTGCGGTGAGTTGTCCACATTTCCAATTAAAGTCCATCCGAGTAACGTTTCTAGTGCTACGACTCCACATTTAAGCTCCTTTCGTTTGCCTGTTAATAACTTTCCTGCGATATCCGCATCAATTAACACAACGATAGGTTCATCTTTTGTGTCGACATCGGTGAGTTGTATTCCTTCTAGTTGCACTTCCTGTAGCCTCGGCTTATAGAAGGAATTTTCTCGCATATTTTTCTCTGACTTAATGCTACAAGGATATAAGAATCCGTCGATATAACATCCGTTGATGTTGCTTATGCTAACTCGGTATTCTAGTAATGGACTTTAAGAATCTCCAAATAACATATGTACCATATGCTATTCGCCAATGACCTCAAATCCTATTTTCTCAGCATAATAGTCAAGAATACAGGGTGTCCCTGAGCATGTGCTCACTTATTTGTAAAAAGGTAGAGCGCAGTAAATTAAATAAAGAAATCCTATTATAGGTAACGATTTTTATAATAACAATCGAAATATTAATTATTGAAATCGGACGAATGAGAGAAGCGCTCGAGCGCTCGAACTATAGCACGGCCCACCGTGTCAGACATTGTCTGCCGGCACGCGGCGGGAGGAGGGACAGCGCGCCGCTACCCGTGGTTACCGCTATCGCCATTCTCACGTTTCATTGCATCGCGTCAAGACTCGCATCTCGCGTCTCATTTCTGGCATTGTTTGCGATTATAATTAATTTATGTATGATAAGAGATATGTATAATACAATAAAAAGACGAAGCTGAATTCGATTTAGATGCTATAAATAAGATAGGAAAAGGAAAGAAATGTAAGGAATCTGAATCGTGAATTTATGATAAGTTTTTGATTAATGTATTATTTACAATTAATAGATAACAGCTTTTTCTATCGATTTCTTTTGCTTCTTTTGTCAGGGCTACAACAAATATTCGTATAAAAATATTCGAACATCATATCATATCAAAATAAATCATCCATTAATATAAAAATGATACAAGAAGCATTTTCCGTAATATACTTTTCGATATATGACATAACAAATATAATTTGCAATCGTGTGAAAAAAGAATCGTGCTTCGTATCATTTTTCAAATAAAATTATTTCGTAGCAAGGAAACATACTATCGTTTCCACACCACCTTGAGGTAGATAGCTTGGCGCGTTTTTTTTTAATGGTTTCCCCAATAGACCTAATCCACTCTCATCATTTAATGCAACAAATGCTCAAAGTGCTTTCCTCGTACTTATAAGCAGAGTTCAGCTCTTCGAACTATTTGTTGCGTCGCTCGGTATGCCATATCTAGCGTGATATTATTAAAGGCCGCTATAATCGCTTCGCGTGCCTCATTTTCATTTCTATCACGCGTGTGTTCTACTAATGTTTTTATGTAGCCCCAAGCAAAATAATCTAATACGTTTAAATCTGAGGACCGTGCCGGCCAAATGATTGAGCCACCTCGACCTATCCATCTATCCGGAAAGCGCGCGTTTAAAATTTGCCGTACTTGTCGGCGATAATGTGCAGGAGCTCCATCGTGCTGAAACATCATTGTTTCTCGATCGCGGAGTCGAACGTCTTCTAACAGATTTGGCAATTCATTTTCAGTAAATTCCGCATACGTTTGTCCATCGAGACGTGGCGGAAAAAAATATGGGCCGATCTAAAAATCGGCAATAACTATTATGAGAGTAGTGCGGGAGGAAAAAGATTTTTTAATATACAAGATTATTTATCACTTACTTTATTATCACCACTCTGTTTACCATTACTCCTGCCCATACATTTATCGACCGGGATCGAGCAATGATTAATTGAGATACTTTATTATGAGGACACCACGGGCAGAATTTCCGATTTTCAATTGTTTTCTCGTTTGTTGCACTCATTGTCTTGTACGTTTTCTTTACGTATTAGTAAGGTGCAAAATGAATTTTACGGCTCAAGAGTATATGGATATGATTGTTTGTTACGGGGTAGCCGGGGAAAATGCTTATGGTGCGGCGCGTTTATATGCGGAACGATTTCCCAATCGGCGGCATCCATCCAGATTCACCATACTGAGATGTATGCAACGAGGAAGAGAAAGCGGATACCTTCTTCTACAACACCGTGTTAACGCAGCAGTACGTCGTCATATTAATGTCGACGAAGAAGTTCTGCATGCATTTGAAGAAAATCCGAGAAATAGTATACGCCATGTAGCTAATACACTCGGTGTACCACGATCCACAGTGCATCGGATTTTAAAAGAAAATGGATTACATCCATTTCATTATCAACGCGTGCAGCAACTTCTTGCGCGAGATGAACAACAGCGTATTTATTTCTGTGAAGGTATTTTCATTATTTTAGTTTTCTTCGAGTCTCAGCTTTCATACAATAATCATCATAAAATACACGCAGGGTTCCTCGCTCAGTGTCGGCAAAATATTTCATTTCCCGATCGTATTTTGTGGACGGATGAGGCTACATTCACACCGAATGGCATATTTAATTCTCGAAATTTTGTGCTCTGGCAAAATGAGAATCCCCATGCTATTCGACAGTGTACTTTTCAATATCGTTGATCGATAAATGTATGGGCTGGAGTAATGGCAAACAGAGTGGTAAATAATCTTGTATATTAAGAAATCTTTTTTCTCCCGCACTACTCTCATAATAGTTATTGCCGATTTTTAGATCGGCCCATATTTTTTTCCGCCACGTCTCGATGGACAAACGTATGCGGAATTTATTGAAAATGAATTGCCAAATCTGCTAGAAGACGTTCCACTCCGCGATCGAGAAACAATGATGTTTCAGCACGATGGAGCTCCTGCACATTATTGCCGACAAGTACGGCAAATTTTAAACGCGCGCTTTCCGGATAGATGGATAGGTCGAAGTGGCCCAATCATTTGGCCGGCACGGTCCCCAGATTTCAATGTATTGGATTATTTTGTTTG